GTGCTTGCTGCCAGCTGTCTGCAGCCAAGCCTGGCAGCCCCCCAGGTCCCTGGTAGTGCAGACTGAAGAGGGAGAAGGCAGGGCAGGGTGACATCCTGCAGACTAACCCCTTCAGATGAAGGGCAAGCAAGGAATACATCTGTAGGCAGAGCACAGCAGTGCATGCCGAACCCTCTGTTTGAAGAAAGCAATGGTGGATGCCTCCTGCATCCCTTACTGCAGGGTGGAGGACTGCTCCTCTTTTCGGTTATGCTAAATGGTGAACTAGCTGGAAGGACTCGGCACGGCCCCATCCTGTTGTGTACTGCAAGCTGCTTCCTCTGGCTGCTCACAGCTTTGTCTTTTGGCTGCTTGTTCTCCCTCTGTGTCCAGCTGGCAGCATCCCGCACTTCCAGCCCAGAAGAGCAGGAGTCTGCAGCAGTTAATGTCGGGGAGCAGAAGCGAATGGGGGCCGAGGGCGCTTTGCTGATCCGCCAGCAGCGTTCAAAGCGTCCACTGTGCGCTGTACTATGCTCGGAGGCGAGCCGATGCCCACTCCTTGGCAGCTGCGAACTTGTCACCAGATCGTTTTGGGCACTGTTTAAATTCCAGATGCTGTGGGAGGATGGTGGAAAGGGCACTGCGGTTAATGAAAACCTCTGGCCTGTAGAAGGGTAAACTTGGTTGCTAGTTCATCCCTCCAGGGCTTCTGCTCATCTGGATTCCCCGCTCTTGAAATGGGACTGGGCTTGGGGTTGTGCGTGGCTGAGGAACTGGGGCTCTACTTTCTGGAGCCTTGCTCCCTTGCATGCTCCTGTGGCTTGTGATTTTTTTGCTTCTAGGCAAACTGTCTGATTTTTTTTCTAGACCAGGATAGAAGCTTCCTTGAACGGTGTTGCTTTGCAGTGGACTTAAGTCCTCATCAGGCTTCTCCCGCGTGCAGGGAAGGCTGTTTGCTGCTGATGAATACCACTATTCAAGCAGCAGCAGCTTGAGATATAGTTAGACCGAGATCTCCTGGGCCATTAAAAGATTCAGGTCCAGCCTTCCTGGCAGGAGAAGTGTTGGCTTGGAGGCTTCTCCCCTTGCTGGAGATGTGGAGAAGCCCCCCAAAAACCAAGCATTTCCCCATCTCAAACCAAAATGAGAAACTCTGTGCTGGCTGCCCCTTTATTGCCCAACATCTTGTTCTGTGGCGGTGTTGGTTGTAGCTGTGTTGGTCTAGGCAGACAAGGTTATTTTGGGTCATTCTGATCTCTTTAACTGGGCCAACTCAAATAGTTGGAAACACTCTTCTTTGCAAGCTTTCCGATATGAATACCCTTTGTCAGGCCGAGGAAGCATCTGCAGTTGGTGTGTGCCCGATGAAGGGTATTTATACCGGAAAGCTTGCAAAGAAGAGCGTTTCCAACTATTTGAGTTGGTCTATTGATGCATTTTGAAGGGGAGCTCTAGCTTCTCCCCGCCCTGCTTCGAAGGGAAGGCACTCATTCGGGAGGCGGGTGGGGAGTGAACTCAAAAATGCAAGCTGAGCTGGAAGGATGGCTGTCTCAAAGGACCAGGCTCAGGCCAAATACTTATTGTACAAGACAAAGTAACGGCCTCATTCATCAGTTTTTCTGAGGCCTTTTTTCCGCCCCCCTTGCCCCTCCTTCCTTGCAGATGAGACCAGTTGGAGCCAGGCTGTGACTCAGTGGCCACGCTGAGGAATGTGCTATGCATGGGTGTAGTCATCTGGGCTGCCAGATGTGCACGAGCCCTGACGGCTCCTATTCAAAATACAAGCTGTTTTGTAGCAAGGGCAAGCCGAGAAAGTTCCTGGCTGGGGTGTAACTTCTCCACAGCGGCAGACCATTTCGAAATGAGGGACCTTCAATGTGCAGCGACAAGAGCTTGTCTCTGGGAGGCAAAGGTAGCAGTAATCGTATAGCTGAGGCATGGGTGGAGGGAAGGCACTGATATCAATGGGCAGCATTGTGCAGATGACAATAAGAAGGCTTAGACAGGGAAGATGCGGAGATCTTGGACAACAAAGAGCTGATTTACTTAAGGATCATGGGGCAGATATGCAGACCACAAGTATTTTGCCTACTGTTCTGGCTCTGATAATTGGATGCTGCTGGCCTGGATATTGGCTATTGAATGCATGCAAAGGCTTAGATGCCTATCAAAAACCTTTTGAAGCTACCAGGTAGTTTATCTCTAGCATTGCACCCGTCAGTTGCTCTTGAATGGAAATTTTTCACTTTCCTGACTCACGGATGTATCTAGGCAAATGTTCTCTCAGCGGGAGACTTCCCTTCTATGGAAGTTCAGCTTTTTGCCTAGATCAAATCTAAGGATTTTGCATTGTCTGCGGGAAGAGATGGAGTCTATTTGCATATGACCTAGCTCAAACCTCCACAGGCATTATCCGTGTGTAGACTGTGAAAGGTTGGGGGGGTGGGATTTATCAGCTGGCTTGTGCATCTGGCAGCCTCCCTGGTGATAAGGGTCCTGCCAGGCTGGAAAGCGCTGCTGCAGTACCCGCAGAGCTGATGAAGGGGCAGTCGGACCTACCCAGAGGAAAGTGGGTATGTCCCACGCTCAGGCCTAGCCCTTATCCTTCGGTGGCATCAACAGAGCAGAAAGACTTTAACGCTCTGCCTCATTTGATGCATCTCTTTTAAGGCTGCCTTGAAGTCCACTATCTTGTTTGAGAGTGGCCCTCTAAAAAGCGCATCATGTCGCAGGCAATGCTTCTACCTCTGGTGTCCTTGGGTCCTCCACTTGCCTGGCTTGTTGGACACGGTCGCAACCGACTTTCAGCACCCACTTCTGCACTCGCCCGGGGGAGCGGGGAGCACTCCTGTAGCAAGTGGGCAGTAGCCGAGCCAGATCCTCCTCTCCTAAATGCTGGCATTAGAGGTGTAACTATTGGCTCCAGCACTGTTGTTGTAGACTCGCACCTTGGTTCGGACTGAAATAGTGGAGAACGGCAGCCTCTGGGATCCCAAGTGCCTGTGGTAGGTTGCTAAGATCTCTTTGAAACCTGACACTGGGATCTTTTTTTGCTCTCTGCCTGGTTTGGCTCCGAAGCATCGCTTGTGACTCACATCCCTGAAGTGTTGTCAAGAAACATCTGCCAAGCTCAGGAGTTCCACTTTCCATTCAAGCAGACTTGGCCCAGCATGTATTGACTCAGCGTTTTTTCCTGGGCTAAGTGTTTGGCGGTCAGAGGTACATGCGGTCTATTTGGCTTGCTGCTTGGTAGGGTCGGACTGGCTTGGTCTGGGGGTGAGGGTGGGTGCAGCAGCGCTGTGCTGGAGGGGGATCGAGCTGCGAGTGCAACTGCCCTGAATGCATAAGCTTCTCTGTGGAAACTGGTGTGTGGGGCACTGTTGGGAGGGAGAAAAGCAAGCTGGATCAAACTCTGAAACTGGCCCAGTGTAGACAAGGGAGACGGGCTACATTTCCGGTCTCAAAACAGCACCTTCCATTGGGCTGTGAAGGGCGCTGGGCAAGGTGAGCACCTTGGTATGGACATGACTGCAATGGGATTTGTTGGATCCCATCTACCTTAATTGGTAGCATGATGAGGGGGGTGGAGGACCTGACTGCATTATGGCATCCCAGAAAACTTTGCCCGTAGGATGGGATCTCCTCTTCTATACATTGTCACGCTCCAGCCCCAGGCCCTAGTACTGCAGCATGCGTCGACACGGAAATGCTTTGGCCTGCGTGTGATGCATCATAGCCCAGCTTCAGATGTGCCACAAATGGGAGGCTGTGTGGATCTTGACTAATGATTGGGGAACTTGGCGATTGGCTTCAGACTATATTCCATGCATAAAAGTGATGCAACTTCCTCTTTAATATTTTGCTGGCCTGTTCAGAACACGCTCTAAGCAGTCGATTGCAACAAAGCACTTTGATTAAGTCCACAATACTTGGGTTCTGACCTAATGCTAATGCACCTAAATGCAAATGCTTTGGCTTCAAGCACTCTTCAAACCTGCTGACTCTAGGAGAAGACCTCAATCCACTTAATCCTGTAGTATTCCTCTATACTTAATACCACCCTTTCTCCTTGACTTTCAGAGTGGGGACAGGATGGGTTGGGGTCTTGTCTTGTAGGCAGAGGTCTTCCTACCGCTGGGTGGGTTCCTGATGAACGTCCACTTGTCTCCTGCAGGGATGGACCTCTCGGCCAATCAGGATGAAGAGAGTGACCAAGAAATCTTTCAACTGGAGATCAACAAGGACACCAAGAAGTGTGCCTTCAGGACCTATACTGGGAAATACTGGACCCTCACCCCCAACGGGGGGATACAATCCACCGCCTCAACCAAGTGAGTCTGCAGGGCTTGTGTCGCCTTACTGATCGCTGCTGGGTGGCTGGGTTTTGCAGCTGAATATCCGGGGGCTTTGTCTGCACATAGCATGCAGTTGTATTGCAGCAAACTTCCCCCTCCCGAGTGTCTGGCTGTGCCAAGGAAGCTGACTTTTTTTTTTAGCTGGCGCTGGGGTGGATGTTATGTTTGCAGTCTGACTTTGGACTGAGGCAGTGGGTCGTCAGCAAGATGGTCCTTGCCTGTGGGAGGCTTTGGACACCAATACCTGGCCTGGAAAGGGGGATATTGCAGAGCAAGGCGTGCTGCTGTGAATGGAGGCATGCTGCATTCCTACACATGTTCCTAGTTAAGGAAGGGTGGGGATGCCTGTCAGTGAGGCAGCTTGAGATGCTGCAGAGGAATCTGCAGGGAGAGGGAAAGGCACATGTGTTTTCTCTTCTGAAAAGACTGGGGCCAAATACTCTTGCAAGATGAAAAGCAAAGAGTTGTGCTTGGAGCTGTCTTACTGCCTCGGTGGGACAAAGGACTGAAGGGCCACACTGCACAGGAGACTGGAATAGGCTCAGTGCCTCCAAATGAGCAACGCCCTGATGACTGGAAAGGGGTGTACACATAGTTCCTGCAGCGCAGCTACAGGGATGTGACACTGGGACAGCTGTTGGGTACATCTGGGCCCACTACTCCCAGTGGCTTGAGTGCAGGCTCCGCTTCTCAAATTCCCTCCCTTCCTTGGGCCCAGGTCTTAGTCCCTTTTGGACACTGGGGTAGCCACGAGCTCTTAAGCACCTGGTTCTGGGAGTGGAAATCACAAACCTGAGTTTCCCCTCCATGAATAGACATCCTCACAGTCAGTGTGCTGGGGAGGGGAGAGGGGAAGTGATAAGCAGGCATTTCTGAAATCCTGCGTCCTCTAATCCTAGAGGCCCTGCTCAAGTCTGCTGCTAGCATGTAGGAAACTGGGTTTCCCAGCCCAGAACTGCACCCTGCAATTCAAATGTTAGTTGCTCCTTTGGGTAGAGAGAATTCTCCGTGGGATTTGCACCAATGGTATATCCATTTACATATTATATATACTAGTGGTTAGAGAACTTGTCTCGGGAAGTGGAAGATGTAGCACTATATATGCATGTGTTCAATGCGCCTTTTAATGTGTAACTCTGAACTTGTCTCCAAGGCTTCTGCTCCTCCAGACTTGCTGGCACCTCCTGGCATCCTAAGGTTTTAGCCACAGTCCTTAAATTGCCCAGCAAACTGTGTATTCAGGTGCCCACTAAGGGGCTGCTGGGAGAATTCGTGGCACCCCAGGAGCAAAGTGGTACCTCCGACTCCCAGGTCATCTGTGGAAACGGAGGCCAGGGTGGGGAGATGAACAGGGCAGGGAGAGCATCCCTCCGCCTGACTCCACAGACCCTTATGCCTTGTCTGCTGCTCTTTGTGCTGTGGCAGGAACTCAAGTTGCTACTTTGACATCGAGTGGTGTGACAGGCGCATCACCCTGAAGGCTACGAACGGCAAGTATGTCACAGCAAAGAAGAACGGGCAGCTGGCGGCCACAGTGGAGACGGCGGGTAAGGATGTCTCTATCTAGTTGCAGGGGTGGGGCTTGGGGGGAGGATTGCTGGAAAGCCCTTCAATCCTAGTAGGAGCAAAGACTTGGAGAAGCACTTTGCCATCCCTTGGTCTAAGCATGATGAAGGCTAAGACTGGGACCTATCACTGGGCACACCGTCTCCCCTGTGCTTCGGTGGTCCAGATTGAATGCAGCGGGTAGGTTTTGACTAGTTGCTTTAGCTGCTTTCATCTACCCCGTTGTGCACGTAGAACCTAAAAGGGCAGTTTTCTAACTGGCACTGGTATTCAACCTCAGGAAGTCTGAATCTGTTAGAAAGGCCACATCTCACCACCTCTCCTCTGTCCCCTCTCCCTCTTCCTGCTGGGCAGGTGAGACGGAGCTCTTCCTGATGAAGCTGATCAACAGGCCGATCATTGTCCTCCGCGGGGAGCATGGTTTCATCGGCTGCCGCAAGGTGACTGGAACCCTCGACTCGAATCGTTCCAACTACGATGTCTTTCAGCTGGAATTCAACGACGGTGCATACAATATTAAAGGTAAGCCCTGCCGTAGCGCAGGCTCCTAGGATTATCTGCTAGGAACAAGCCGACTTGCTCCTTCAAGAACAAGTGACCTTCTTGAAGCATCAAGTAGCAGTGATGCTCCTGTTAGGAGCTCTGAACTCCCAACAGCTGTGCATTCATGCGATCTATGCAATGGACTAAAACTACCAAAGAGGTAGTTTCCCCTCTAAAAACTAGAGGGGTGTTACCAAAGGTGTGAACACCCCTTATTAATTGCAATGGCTTTTAGAAACCCAAGAGACTTCTTTCCTTTCTGCTCTTGCTTCCTCCTTAGCTTGTAAGCCACAACAGTTTTATGTCTTGACAACAGGGACAGTGTATGTATGTATGAAAGTAGCTTTTGACCAGTACAGGTGACAAGTGTAAGCTCTCCCACCACCCTGCTTGCTCACGAGTCCTGTGAAGAGCTCCCACCCTGCTCCAGATGGAAACCCCTCTGTGCACTGTGACATGGCAGTGAATGTCAGCTGTAGTAAAGTTCAGGGTGTCTCTGGACAAAAACAGTTGGAATAAATTGGAAACCCCTGAACACTCATGGGAGGGTGAACCGGAGTTGCTGCCATTTGACTGGGGCTGGATTCTGATGCTAGCGAGGCTGAATCTCTCCACCCCTCCTGCTCCCTGCCAGGCAGCTTTTTGAGCTACTAAACTCCCTGAATGTCCCCTAAGTGCTAGAAGCCTTGGCTTCTGCTGTCCTGTCCTCTCTCCTCCATCCCTGTGACTGCTGGGATTTCATTCAAAGCAGGAGTTTGAGGTCTCCCTTAAACTGTCCATCACGGTTTGGCTCAAGCATGGCAGGAAATGGGCAGATGCATCTTGTGACCATCTCTAAGGATGGTCTTAGGCTGCAAAACAGGGGAGGCCTACAAGTGTCCGAAAGCTCACGGGTCTCGGGACTGAGCTGCTGGTACCGAATCGCACTAGCCTGGTGTGGCTACAGCAAGGGGTTCTTTGATGCCCCTGTGCCGTGGCTGGTGTTTTCACAGGCCTTCATACGTGGCGGGGGGCCTTCCACTATTACTCCATAACATCCCTGCAGCGAGACCAAGAAAGGAGCACATCCGCTCTTGTGCAAACCTGGTAACTCTCTCAGTAAGGGGAGAGCTCATATCAAGCCAACCTGCTTCCCACTCCCAGGGCCCTTGGTCCTAGGGGGTCTGCTCCAGGTGTCCATCAGTTGCTTATTTTGGACCCTCTTCTCTCTCCTACTTGCAGATTCCACTGGGAAGTACTGGATGGTGGGGAGCGACTCATCCATCACCAGCAGCAGCGATACGCCCGTGGACTTCTTTCTTGAGTTCTGCGACTATAACAAATTGGCTATCAAAATCAACGGCAAATATCTGAAGGGTGACCATGCCGGTGTCCTCAAAGCTTCTGCTGATGCAATCGACTCCTCTACCCTTTGGGAATATTAATGCACTTTAGCTTTCCCCCCCCATTGCCAACTTCTTTCTGTCTTTGGTTTGGTTTCTCCTCTCTTCTTTCTGTCTCTCCCTCTCTCTGTAAAAGGATTTTCAGACTGGCTTGCTGCTCCCCCCCTACCATAGAATCCGATGTCTTTTGTTGGAGGTAGGGCTTTCTTTTATCTCTTAAAACTGGATAAATAACCTGGAGAAAATGGTGCAACCTGTCCCTAGATTTAGAAGCATCTTTTTTTCAGGTTAGTTTGGCTTGGGGAATTCTAGCTGCCATACCCCACCCTGGCTCTGAGCATCCTCCCTGTTTTCCCTCCTCCCCCCCCTTCTAAAAGAAAAGGGAATAGCATCATCTCTCTGCTCTTGTGCCATACAGAGTTAGTGTCACACTCCAATCTCTACTGCCAATGTCCTTGCAGCTGCTTAATCGATTAAATTAGCAAGAGCTAGCTTGGACAAGCTCTTGGAGTGTCAGTGACTCCTGCTTTTCCATCAAACCAAGGGAGGTGGGAGGCCGTGGCATTAAAATCCAGCTTCAGGGAGACATCATCTTCCTTCACTTGGTTTTGATGAAGACATTTCTTCAGTCCCTTCTTTGGGCATAAGAGGTAACCTTGCATATCATGCCCCCAACCCTGAAGGGCTGGCTTCTGCCAGCAGAAACTCAACTGCAGGGCTAGTAAGCTTAAGTCCTCCTCCCTTTTAAAACTGGAGATGCATGCAAGTAGAGCACCTAAAACTGTTCCAAGGCCAATACCGTCTGGAAGGCTTCAGGGGCTCATCTCGGGAGCCCCCCTCTCCATAAACAGAGCTCTGGGTCTGTTCTGTTTGTGCGAGAGGAGCATCATGGAGTCTTTTCAACTGGTTCGGCTTGTTGGCTCCATGAGATTTACTGCACCTCAGAGGCTACTGAAGCTGCCTTATTGCTACTCCTAGAAGGGGACAGGTTCATGAAATTTGTCGCTAGGCACATTAACTTTTAAATAGGTATCCTCTTAACCAGTCCTTGCTTCTGCTCCCCTGCAGCCCTCCTGTCTGGAAGGCTGACTTCCCCAGCGGCTTTCTTACATGGTGCTGATTCACTCTCAACAATGACTCTGGTGCACACCATGGGCTTCTCAGCACCCTTCTCTTCCCCACTAACTGCAAAAGAAACAATGTGCCTGGTATGCTCAAGGACTGTCCCAGATTTACAGCCATATCTCGCTGCTTTTTCTTTTAACCGTTCAGATTTAAGCCCTCTGGGCTACGGGAGCATTGGTTGGAGAGGAGTGTAAAGCAGGTTGGCTGACACTGCTTGCCCTGGATAGTAGCTGGAAGCATACGTTGCAGATCTTGGTTTACAGAGTAGAAACCTTCTTAGCAAACTTTGCACAGTGGTATTTGTTCAGTACTTTCTTCTCATACCTACTGGAATAGCAAAATCCTAATCACTGAACGTCTTACTGTTTGAAGCCTGTTCCTATTGCTTGAGTCTGATTTTAAGCTGTCTCCTCTCTGCCACCCTTCCCTGGGAGGAGAACTTTTTTTGCATTGATGGCATGAAAACTTAGCAACATTACTGGAAGCAGAAAAATGACCAAAACAGTATTTTTGTTAATGTCTATTTATATCTATCTCCATGGCACTATGTTATCAGCTGTCTGTTAGAAGTCTGCATTAGTGTATAACAATGTGAACATTTTGTAATAGGTGATGCTAAACTGTCCTTCAGGGTATCAGAAGGCACTCTCCTTAGAGGCCACTCTACAGGCAAATTTCTTTTGGCCCCTGCAAATACTCAGCCCGTTGTTGCCCCAGTTCCAGCCTGGAAGGGGATGCATACTGCATCGCAGCCACCAGTTGCTCTTTCTGTGGCTGGCTTCAACAAGCCAGACCATGTTTCCATGCCTTGCTGAGCTCCTAACCAGACATGGTGCTTGTGGCTTCACTTGTGTCATACTGAAGGCTAGTACCTCTTGCCAGAAGCAAGGTAGGGCCTCAAGCCTTAAAGCCATATGGCCATTCCTAAAGTCTTTCTTCTCTAGGAGCTTGGTGCTAAAGTCTCTTCAGCCAGCAACTGGAGCCCTTGGTCTGAGTTCTGGGGCTGAGACCTAAGAAGAAAAGGCATCTCCTCCATCTGGGACACCTGTGATTTTTTTTTTAAAGGATGCCACCTCCAGCTTGGCTCCTTGCCCCTTCATTTCAGAGGTGCTCCTTTCCCTGCACCTAGGGGACCGGCAAACTTGTAAACTTTAAAAGCTTTTCTTGGGAACGGAGATGCCTCCAAAAGGAACGAGTGTCCTCATGAAACCCTGACTGACCCTGTGACTTGGCACACACTGCTTGCTGGCCCTGCTGTCCACAGTGTCTCCCTTCTTCCCCTTCCTAGTTGCAGTTTGAACCACGTAACTCCTGCTCTGGCTTCTTCCATATGTGACAGTAGGTCAAGAATCTCCCTCAGTCTCCTTTATCGGGTGTTGTGACTGAAACCATCTCACTCTGAATCTAAGTTTTTGGGGGTTTTTTATTTTTATTTTTTGTAAGTGCCATTTGTATAACTTAAAATAGCTTCAAATGGAGAAAGATAAATAAAAACCTGCATTCAGATATGAGAACTGGTGTGGGTAGTCTTCATGGAAGTGGGGGTCTGAAGCAGTCCTCTGCCTCAAGGAGGAGTCTCTCCAGCGTGTCTGGGGGGCCTGGAGCTGTTGCTATCGGGGCCATAAGGAAAGGAGGGAGGGAGGAGATAGATAAGGTAAATTGGTGATATTTGCTTCCCCATGTGCTAATAGAAAGAACTACAGCAGAATGCGTCTGTAATGACTATTCTTGTCTCTTCAAGCAAAGTCGGCTTGAACTCTGTACTACCAAGCCACCATCTAGAAAAGACTCATATCCCTACTAGTTTGTTCAGTCCAGCTTTAAAAGCCTCCATGTTGGCTCCAACAGCCAACCCCTTTTAAACCAAGGGTGAGTGGAGGGAGAGGGGATAGTCATCATGCTGCAAAGCTTATTTCTCTCGGACACAACCCCCCATGCTGAAGAGGCCTGCAGAAAGTAAAGGTTTCTGACCCATTAACAGTTGAGGAGTCTGCATCCTGGTAAGGAAAATAGTCTGCTTGAAAGTAGGAGCTATGCCAAATGAAACCAGTGTCCAGGAAAACCACACCTCTGGGGTGGAGAGGTGGTGGCCATCAGCTTTAACACCAAGGGCAGAAGGAAAGAAAGAAACTAATGCAAAGTAGGAAAAACCACATCCTCTTCCCTGATGCCACATTCACTGGTACTTCTGGGGAGTCTTCAGAGGGGGAGAAAGGAGCAGCTACTCCTGGTATCTCTGTCCTCCAGGCTCAGCATCCCAATTAATTTGATAATTGCATTGTCTACTCTTGCCTCATGAAAGTGCCCTTAGCTCTTACACTTGAGGGCCCAGATCAACCTCTTAATGTTAAAGTTTATGGGGTGGAGGGGTTGTTCAGTAGAGCCGTTGTCAGGACTTTCCTTTCCTGGAGGAAGAAGGACACACTTCCTGCCAAAAGCAAGGTCCTGCTTGCAGCGGAGAGCTGTTGCAGCATAGACCCATCTCATGATGGCCGAGGAGCCAGGGGGTGGTGTTCCCTCCCTGCCCGGGCTGGGCCGACTCCTTGTGCTCCAGTTTGTCTATGTGAATATGCAGTGCTGCAATACAGAATCTGTCTGGGGGAAGACTTACTTGCCAGTGACCTTCCAGCTTAAAGGATCTGGAAATCCTCATGGCTGGAAACAAAAGGGAGGAGTGGGTTCATGCCAGCAGCATCCTGGTTCCACAATCAGCCAGGAAGGACTAAGCAGCTGCATCCTGCAGAGCAACAGAGATTTCAGAGGCAGGTGCTTGACCAGAGCAACCTCCCAGCACCATTTGCTGCTTGCTCCTCAGCTCTGCAAAGCTGTACTTGGCTCCCAATAAAGCACCTACCGATGCTGGTAGTGCTTGTGGAGCTCAGAGCCTGGGGCTTGAAGCAAGCATAGCCACTCCTGCATGGGGGTTTAGCAGCTGCTCTGGACTTGGTGCAGACGGGGAAAGGTGACGGCATCTGCCATTGTGGGGAAAAATGCTTGCGTCCATGTTATTTGGCAGCAAGATGCTCCCCACCACCCTTACGGCCACCTCCTGATGACCACAACAGAGATTGCATTTGCTTTCTAAATGCTATTAATCTTGCCAGATTGGCTACTACCTCCTGCTGGAAACTCAGACACCACGTTTTAAGGCTGCCTCATGCAGAGAGCATCAGCCACTGGGTTTTGTCCCTGCTCACTGGAGTCTCGCCACCCAGAGAAGTTACCCTCCACCCCCAGCACCGATCCCTGGTGCTGGGGAGGGGGAGAGACGTGGAAATGCGCTTTCCTGCAACGGAAGTAGCGGCGCAGCTCCGAGCTGGGGGCGGTAGGAGAGAGCGATTGAAATGCTTTAGGGCTCGGTTCCTTTGTCACAGACCGAAAGCTTTAAGCGGCGAGGAAGAGACCGATGGGCCGATACCGAAGTGCTCCGGAAACGAGAGCATCCGAGTCTTGCTTTAGCAATCTGCGTGCTGCTGCTTGGGGCTGCAGAGGCAGAGCACAGAAGAAACCCAGAGGCAACAGCTCACGTACCCAGGTACAGACAGTTACCCCTAGCAACTTGGGAGCAGGAAAATTAGGAGTCCAAGTTTCTGCCAAAGCACTGCTTCCCCCCGCCCCGGCTCCAACACTCCCATCCCTGCACACGCCTGCTCAGGGGAGTAGGCACCACCTCGCCAGGAGGAGGGAGAGCAATGTAAGGGTTAAACACCCCAAAGATGCTCGAGGATGGGGCCTTGTACACTCCTATCATGGTCGGTGGGACAGATACGGTAGAAAAACCTTCAGCCAAAAGGAAGGTACAGAACAGGTCCCCTCTGCTCCAGGCAGCGGCTCCTACTGCCGGGGAAACACGGGCCCAAGGAAGGGGTGCAGGGGACGCCGAGAGGAGGAATAGGAGCGGGCAAGTCCCAGCTCCAAACCAGGCCAGGCAGCATCCAAGGGAGAGGACCCCCTAGCGCTTTAATGCTCCTCGGCCACTGAGGCTAAGCCAGGACAGGGACAAGCCACCGTCCCCAAGGCAGACTCGCTGGCATGGCTACCGTTCATCACCATGGAGATGCTCGTGGTTGGAGACGACGGATGTGCAGAAGCAGGCTGGGCAGGGCACGTTCCCTGGCAGTCGCACGAGCCACGGGGGATTAAAAAAAGCAGGTGGCAGCAGCCGGGCTGGCACAGGCTAGAGAAGGGGCAGGTATCTGCTTGGTAAGAGGGGAGCAGTTGTGCCCCTTCCCGCAGCAGGACTACCTACATGCATGCGTGACAGCTACCGGCCCGCCGCGCTGAAACCTCCGGCCCCTCCGCCAACTGCTTCAGGACGCCCTGCCCATTGCTTTTACACCCCAGCTCCCAGCCGAGCCCCGCGCCATCGCCTGCAGGGCCCCACGGTCCGCACCCACGTCCGAGGTGCACAAAGCAGCGAGAGGCACCGACCGAACGGCCGGGGACCGTGTTTCCCCTGCCTGAGCCTCCCGAGCGCTGGATCGTTAACAGCTTGGCTGCTTGGGGCACGCAGCGCAGGCTGTTGTCATTACAACCCCCAAAGCATTCAAAGTGAAATCCAGGATTCGGTCTAAGCGAGTTCGGGCCGGGCCAAGCCAAAAGACAAAGCATTATTATGCACGCAAATGAACCTGCAAAGTGGGGTCCGCACCACCTCACACCCTTAGGCCCAAGGGCAGCTTTCCGGCATGGGAAGTTTAATAAGAAACCAGGACTTCTTCTCTCAGCGGGTTTTCCATACCCCGCTCTTCAGCACAGGACAAACACAGCAGCTGCGCCCAGGCTGCACTAATGCACCACGACCCCGAGGCGAAGGGCCACCTCCTATACAGCAGCGGGGAAAGGGCTGCACAGAGCCCAAACCTCTTCCATCCTTGGCATCACTGCTGACACTGCCACGGGGGCCCGGTTAGCTCGAGTTGTGATGGTGGTGCAGATCAACCCAAGCCTTTGACGCAGGCCGCTGAATAGGCAAGAGAGGGGCACGACTTTCAAGCATTACTGATTAGGCACCCTAGTAAAATCGACTAAGACCCCCTCTGCCGATAGCCTCTACATGACGTGAAAGCATTCAAAGCAAGCTGCCAGCTCCAGCAGCATAGAAGTGATGGAAAGAGCATCGGAGGGAAAGCAGCAAATGCCACAAGCATGCTTGGTAGGGGGCAGCCCTATTTCTAGCTCCAGCAGCATACAAGTGATGGAAGTACGGCCTGGAAATAGCATCGGAGAGAAAGCAGCAAATGCAATGAGCTTGCTTTGCATGTGGGCAGCCCTATTTCTATATCGGCTGTTCCCTTTCACCCCCTCCAAAGCCGAGGGGAAGAGTCTGCTTCCCATTATTGGGCTCTCGGAGGGACCCCCACGCTGCCCCTTCCCGCCAGCCGTGATCTGCAGCCCTCCCACCCAGCAAGATGCTTGAGGCCCGAGGGGCTTTGCTCCTGGAGACGACCCTGCCGGGCGCGGGGGAGCAGGAGGGGCTCTGCACGGCTCAGCCCTGCTCTGGCACCAGCCTGATTTGTCTTTTTTTTTGTGAGAGCCGCCAAGCTGAACGCGGAGGCGAATGGAGAAAGGCTGCTGACCTCGCTGCCCTGACCTGAATAGCAAACGGGCCTCAAAGGGGCACATGGCTCTTTGATGAGGCCCCTCAGGATGCTCGGGTAGTTTTTTCCCCCCCTTTCTGAACAGTTCCTGGCCATGAATAGCTGTGACCCCGTGAGGAAGAAACCCTGCCCCCCTCTCCCACGGGCCCAGAGAACAGGGCTCCACGGCAGACAATTGGCACGGCTGATTCGGGCGCTCCTCTTCGCCCGGGCACTTCCTTCCTGGCCTCTTGCTTTCTCGCACCCTCTTTAATAAAAGATGACTCCGGCAGCACGTGATGAGATGGAGCAATAGAGAGCGCTCCCGTGGTCGGGAATCCGGGGCGCTGCATTGCCCCGCTCCATCGTTCACCCACACGACCTGCCACCTCCCATGTTTGTGCCGAGAGGAGCCGATCTGCACAGACGCCTCCCCCAGCAGCCCGGCAAACAGACCCAGGCGCTGCACGACACCCTGAATCCCCACCTTGCACCGAGAAAGATGCTGTATTAACCGACTGGCTCCGAACGAAAGCACCAGCTACCATCTGTGGATCTCTCTCTCTCCCTCGCTGATGGGAGCATTGCAAAAACCTCGGATAATACCCAGCTTTCACTAAAGCAGGTTCCCTTCACCCGTCTCAACATGCTTTCCAGATAATAAAGTATAATCTGACTTGACTAAAGTATTACCTACATGCCAGGCCAGGCTGGAAACCAGGTCATCTAGGTCTGTGCAGCCCATATCAACTCCTAAAACAGTTATTTTTGTGGGGACTGAAAATGTACCTTCTGGGATACTGGCACACAATGGGCAGGAAAGGCGGCAGAAAGGAGAAGCAGGAGAGAGAGAGGGCACAGCATCCCTGGCCTGCGCCTGCGGGAGACAGCCCGGGGGGTGGCTGTAACCTGAAGGACGAGGAGCAGGACAAGAAGCGAGGAGGGCTGGAGGCAGACGGAGGCTGTGAATGCATTTCGGCGCTTGTCCCAATGGCCCCAAGAGCTCGCCCGCCCCACTCAGAGGCTCTCCTCGTGCCATCAACTTTGGTGGCAGCCACACCTGCAGGTGCATTTAGGGGGAGAACAGGATGCCAGAGCTGAAGCCTCAGATTCTCCCCAGCGGGATT